GGTTTTTCAACCTGTTGTTCTTTTCTAATGTAATCTTTAAACTCAAAATTGTTTTGCTTCCTGGTGATAGATATTTACACTCAGATACACAGGAAAAGGCTGCTTTCTGATTTCAAAGCATGATCTGTGACTCTTCAAAAGACAAATACTGAATGAGACAATAATCTGCAAGAGTTTCAGAAAGGCAAAAGTATATTCCTCCATAGTTCTCAAACCACTCCCAAAATGAGAGAGGAAAATGACTACTAATGACAGTCAAACACATCCTAATTGAAAGAAATTCAATGAATGTAGGTTTCAAGATGTTAAGTTCAAAGAAAATATTTAATTTTGTAAAATTATATTTTTTTACAAATTAGTTTCCACTTGTAACGCAGAGGACCTAAGTTGAACAAATAGCAAATAAATAAAATGCTATATAAACCTAAGATTTGAAAGAACATACATTAGATAAAAGTGTCTGTTCCTCCTAGAGGCTGGCCACTGAAGCCACCACTTCTGACTTTGTGTACAAAGTCCTCAGAAAAGCAGACGCTGAAGAAATCCAGGCTGATTTCAAACGTGTGTGTGTGTGTGTGTGTGTTATGAATAAGGCTTCATATTGATGACACTTCTTTTCATATCCTCTCTTCCAAACAGTATAAAAGATGTGTAAGAACTTTGAGAAAAACATACCCATTCTCAGTGTTACTTCATTCCCTTATCCCAGGGCCATTTTTAATGAAAATAACACTTTAAGAATAAGCATACCGAAAGATTTACTTCCTCGCTTACTTTATCCAGGTTTCTCTTGCCTAGGTTTGTCCTTTCTATCTTTCTTCATTTGGCTACCTTTCCTCTCCTTCAGTATTATTGCAATGTCTTACCTTCTCCATGACATTATTACTGAAAACATAAGGGTGACCAATTTCTTTCTCATCTTAAGGTTCCTTCACATTTCTCTCAACACACATAATAAGAATAATAAGAATAATAATAATAGTGCACATTTTCTGAGAACTTACCATGTGTGGGGCAATTGAATGTTACCTCACTCAGTCCTCAGAACACTCCTGGGGTAGAAAACTATTACCCTTTCTACAGATGAAGGAACAGGACTGGCAGGTTAAGAAATATACCTGAGTTGACAGTCCAAGGGTGGGGACGAGAATGCTGCCAGCCTGGCCCCAAAGCTTATGTTCTATCCCTGGATTGAAGTTTGATTTAGATAGTAAAATTGTTTGTAAAATCACTGTAATTATACTTTTATTTACTTTATTTTAAAATCAAACACCATGGGACAGTTAAAATGTTCAATAGATGATACCACCTTACTATGAACATAAACTGGCAGTTTATCAAATTGTTTTGTATGTTGATATGAGAGTTTGTAGGAGCAAAGTCCACAGGGTCCTGGGTGAGAAAGGGAATCAAGTAAGAAAGAAAAAATGCTAAAAGAGAAGCCTCAAGATATTACCATTTTGTGGCTCTGCTAGATTTGAAGCCAGTGCCATTGGACACCAGGTCTTTTATCTCTCTGCTAGGCTATTTAAAGGCTGTCTACTCTTCTCTCTAATCTTCCCAAAGACTGAAAAAACACTGATTAACAGGAAATTTATAAAAAAGAATAAAAATTATTTTCAAATTTTTTAAGTCAGGGAAGAGAAAGAGTGAGCTCACTTTGATTATAAAATTGATACTGCAGTAGACAATAAGCCACTTTTTCTGGATTCAACCGGATCTACTTTAATAGGAATAATTTTTAATTGCCACTCTAAAGTCCTATAGTATGGCAGAATGGACTGCAACTCAGAGGCCTGACATAACTGGATATCCTTTGATAAGACACTAATCTGCTTGGATTCCACCTGTAAAATTAGTTAGTTGTACTATCTGTATTGTCTATGGTTCTCTCCACTTCTATTCCATATCTCCTAGTTTCTTTATTCAAGAAACTCTCGTTGTTTGTGATCTCAAAATCTCAACTTTGCCAAGGAAAGGATTTACATTGGATTTATTGATGTAGCTTTCGATATTTCAAAACTTAAGATGTACTTTATAAAAAATCTGTTGAACAAATATATTTCTTTCACCAGTATGTTCTGCCTCAATTATCAACTCAAGTTCTTGCTCCTCTGTTCCTTCTTTCTTTAAATATTGTTGCCCTCTTTGAGCCTCTGCCATTTAATGCCTTAATGTCTTTCCTTGTTTTTACATTTTCCTTACTCCTCTTTTTCTTATATGATTTTTATTTTTTTATTTTTTATTTATTTATTTTTAAAGGGAGTCCCCAGGTCTGCTCCATCCAAACACTGTGAAGCAAGAGACAGACCCATGGGACTGCCAAATGTGCTGCCTTCTTATATGATTTTTTTAAATGTTCATCTTCATATTTTAGTTATTTCTCACTTTTTTCCCTTTATTTTTGTTCTTCATCATTGGATTTTCTTAGACGTTTTTGGTAAATTCTTCTTATTTTCCTTTACCTTTTCTTTCTTTTCTGTATTACATTTTCATTTTTCTTTCTTTCCTTTTTATCTCCTTTCCTCTTAAGGACCTGTGTTAACTCTAGTTTTATCTGCATTTTAAGAAAAGCATACTTTCTTCACCAAAAGTACTCACGGTATCACAGCTCTGGGTCTTCCTCACCAAGAATATCAAGTTCAGGAGGAAAGAGGTTCCAGGGGTTCTGTATCTGCCTCTTCCTGGGTATATTTAATAAAGAGTCTATCATTTCTCATAAAAGTTTATGAGGTACATGACCTTTATGTTAATGTCAGCTGGGCCAATTTAAGTACTCATGGCATGTAGTCAATAGAGAGTGATGGAAAAAACTGGAAGAAATATTCAACAATCAGTTCTGAGCTGATCAAGCAGAGTAACTGAATCATTTGTCCAGTCAGGTAGTTTCTGCTGCAAATAAGACAAAACCCAGCTCAATATGGTTGAAACAATAAAGGCTAACATAACTGAAAACTCCGTAAGTAGTGATGTCACCAAGAATCTACGTTCTTTCAATCTGTTTGCACTGCCTTCTATGGCATTAGTTTTATTCTAGGCAGGCTCCCTCATGAACACAGCAGACCTGAGCCCTACAAGTCTATAGCTTACATGCAACAGAGCAATGCATTCCAGCAGAAGTCCTAAGATTTGACTGGTCTGGGTCACACACTTTCTCCTGAACCAATCATTGTGGAAAGGGAGGCAGGATGCAATCATTCACTAGTCGTATCCATGTGCTCCACCTCTGCAGCCTGGGAAGACAGCTCCTGGGAGCCATATGGTCTCAGAGAAGGAGCAAAGAGGCAACGAGCTTCTTGCTGGAAAGCCACCTAGCAAATGTCCACTGCACGAGGCAAAGGTGAATACAGATCGTGCAAAATAAAAAGGGGTAATTTAAATAGTGCATGTTCTTTTTCCATAGAGTTATTTTCATAGTTATATGACTATAAAAATTAATAAACATTCTATTTTATGAAAATGGAGCTCCTCCACATCCTTTTATAATCAATTCCTCTAGGAACTCTTTCTGAGATTATTGACCCCAATACAGTTGCCCATTTTTATTATTGTTAAATAATTTAAATGTCATCACTCTTAAATAATGAGAAGGAAAAAACAACAATAGTAACTATTTGATAGTTACAACAAACTACAACAATGACTATTTGATAAAATAATGATATTCTTGTGGGTAAAAGAGTGCTTAAAAACCAATTTGTGGATATTTTAAAAGAATATAAACTCAGCTTAAGCAAATATAGGGGAAAAATCACTTTTAAAAGTAAGAGACAAAAGCAGGAACAGTTCACAAATGAGCAACTGTTGTTCTTTCCTAGTCTCAGTCTCATTACACCTCTTTTGGCTAACTACTAAATAAAGAGCTTATGAAATTAAAGGGCAGGACAGTGACAACGGAATGCACAAAGAAGCTATCTACATGGTCATTTGGGGATGGGGAGGGGGTGACAGTCATTTTTGCAGTGGTGAAGTGGTTATTTAAAGATAATTAGATCATACACAGGTCTTCAAATAAATGAATGCCAATCCTTAGTCCTGGAAAAAAAGGCCCATGTGTATTTTCTAGAGTTTCTGGATGTCAATTTCAAAAGTAAGTATTCTCAATAAGTAGAATAGAATACTTTTATTTTGCCAGGACTAAAGAAAAAAAAGAAAACTAGAATGTTATCTGCAACAATGAGTCATCAGCCACTGCAGCTCTACAACACCTAGGTCTTTCCCTGTCTCTGCAGCCCTTCAAAAGGAGAGGTCTATCTTTTAATGACACACATAAATCCCCGCACTGCCTGGCTGCAAAGCATAATTAATTCTGGCCTTTTTATGCTTAATGAAACACCTTGCACACATGACAGCAGTAGGTTTGAGCTTTTTGTGTGTAACTAAAATGGGAAAACCCTAGCAACAACCCAGTTCTACGCAAGATGCTCTGTAAGTCATATTTTTATGGGCTCTGCCATTATTTCTTCAAAATATATCTCTCATAACAAGTCAGTCAGGCTAAAGAAAACTCACAATCAGCCACCTGTATGAACGGTTTTCTTAACTTTCAAAAATGTGGGATTTTTGTTTTTCAAATTCTTGGCAGTAAATACACATTTTTATTTCTCAACTTGTGGCTGTGATAGAAGTATTTAAACAAAGTAATCTCTCAGATGCAGCTGCTCAATATCATTTCCCTTTATTAGAATAATTTTTCATATTTTAATGCATACTTATATGTTATATTACAGAGGCTATGACTCCATAGAGAATCTCAAAACGTACATTGTCAAGGTCTATTTCAAACCATAACTAACAATATAGGTAAAATTTTTTAAACGAAATTTAACTGAAAGATTTACTCCTCTTTAAAACAGTCAATTATTCTAGCCCTATCTAAAGAGTCTTGAAAGCAAATGCCAACTTGTAAAGAAGTTACCATAAGTATAAATGCAGGGTTTTGTTTTAATTATGGATCATATATAGAACAAGTGAATAATAAAATATAGAATTCCTCTCACCTGCTTAGGTGTAACCCCAGGCATGCGAATATCCAATGCAAAATCTGATGAATCAATAGGAATAACTGGTCTAGTGGTACCAAGACAGTCATTGGAAAATGATCTGGTAGTTTCTTTAAACCTTAAAAAGGAAGACAATGTCAATATTCTTGAACATAATGGAATCTAAACTCAACATGAGAAGGGGGAAAAAGGGAATTTTATGACCTTAAGTTAAAGATTACTGATTGAGACCCAATGAAAACTCTAAAGATGTGATGACTATATAATGTTTTTAAACATACACGCAATGACATTTTGTAGTCCAAGAACAATATATACCCAATTTGTAAACAAAATATAATCAACACAACCAAGCAGGCTACATTTAAAAGTAGAGTCAATAAAAATTTATCAAAATATATATTTGTTCCTACTTAATGAAGATACAGTATTAATACATTAGAAATTATCACAGGCATGCCAATTTTCTAATGGCAGAGATATTAACCACAGCCCAGTAAAAATTTCTGTTTAACTATATATTGAGTGGCCAATATAACTAGTCAGAAACAAAAAACCAACCATAATCTTGCTTGGAGACAGAGTTGTATGAGGAGGAAATAAAAAACTGAGATGTGAATTACAAATGTACAAGAGCATAAATATTTAATATGGTAATTATGAGGCGTGTGTACACAACTTGGTGTTTCCTTGTGAGCTATTACCGTCCATGATCTGCTTCTCCTCATCATTGATCTATTTTGATATTTTATTCTTTGAGCTGTTATAAACAAGAAGGTATTCAAGTCTAAGAGACTATTTCGCAGTTTCTAAAACATCTCCCCAAGAGGGAGTGATTAGTACTGGAAATCACAACTTCTAACTGGAGTTTTGAAAGCCCGGGCAGCTTAGCTACAATGCAGTGGGCTTTTTCTGCAAGGGGGACTTTACAAGAAGTTACTGTGCTCAAATTCCGAGTCCTGTCAGCAAAGAGAAGCAATCCTGCCTGCCTTGCCAACGCTCTGGTTCTTAAGTGATTCCATTTCTAAACAGCATGCACAGAAACCACCCAAACAACAAACACCCACCTCTTAAAGACAGAAAGTGGGCTTCTGAAACCCCAGCAGCTGCTCTGAAACACAAGGAGGAGAAGCAGCAGGCTGCGAGCGCGGCCAGCCATGTCCACGCCGCTCCGGCCCCGCCGGGAGAGGACCGGGCAGCGCTGCGCGGGGCTGGGGCCGGCGGTCGGGCAGCGGCGCCGCCAGCGGCCGCTACTTCATGGCCCGGGCGCGGCGGGCGTCCTGCGGCGGCCACACACCATCCGCCTGCGGGAGCGGCGAGCCGGACCGGGCGAGGCGTCGCGGTCACGAGCCGCAGGCAGAGACCCGTGGGAAGGCGGTACTTTTGTCCGGTCCGCAGGCGGAAGCTTCCCTCCCTCCGGAGCCGCTCGTCGGCGCTGCTGCTGGGGCTAGACGTGCGGGCTCCCTATCGCTCCGGAATGACAGCGACCGTGAGGGATATCGCACGAACCCGCGTCAGTCATCATTCAGAACCTGCAAAAATAGAAGCAGATAATGGATGACTAACACATCACAGCATTTGTCCTCAGCAAATCCCAGCTGAGGTTCTTTAATACATTAGTAGTTTCACAAGCTTGCGCCCAAGCCTGAGGAAAATGCTGGTCTGTTGCTCTCCCTCCCCCACGACCAGGCCCCCTGGATTTCACAACCCCCCACAGCATAACCCCTGTTCTGCCTCTTGCTTGCTCTTCCTCCCTCACATCCATTCCCGTCTTCTTTTCCTACTTCTTCCCCGCTTTGTCCCTCACATGCACCGCACTCTCCTGATTTCTTCTCCTTACTTCCTTTATCACTCCCTTCTCTCACCAAAAATGCACTCAATACCTTTGCTAAATGTAAACAAAGTTATTCACACAAATGACAGCCTAAGGCACAAGGAAAAAAAAAAAACTATAACAGGCTAAGACAAAGCACTTGGATACTACAGTAATCAGATAGAAAAAGACTTTGAGAACAAAGGCATGTTTATATATATGCATCACAGAGCTACAGATCTAAGGGGAAAGACACCCCCTGCCAAGAACTCCCAAGGATCATCACAGAAGTAATTGCTGAAGTTCTCTCGGAATTACTTTAAAACAAACCAAAACTCTACAGCTAATATGATACATATATATATATATATATATAAAATGTAAATGCCCATTTAAAAATCCTGTATCTACTATACAAAATAATAATTTATTACTTATAAGGCCTACCTCCCAAAAGATATTCTTTCCTAAATAAAGTGTGAAGATTTACAAGACAATTAGAAACAGTAGGGAGAATCTCAGCTGCCCCCAAATGAATTTTATCTACAAAGACTATGATCAAGATCTTCACATTAACATAAATGAGAGGCCAGGCAGAACTAGTGTAACATCTCAACAGTTTATGAAGAGGAACCAACTAAGCTAAATTTTAAAATAAGCATGTTTTGACTTTACTGTTGGGAACATATTTCAGACTATGTACAAGTCTGCACATTTTAGTCAGAAGGCATTAATTAAAATTCTATCATTCACAATATAAAAATACTGTGCCTCCAAAGAAAAAGATTTCTCGAAGTTTTATTTTAATCAGTAATTATACACACGGTTTGGAGAATCTTGAATAAATTCAATGGCTAGGTGCATAACAGTAAGAAACAAAAATTGGTAAGATCATATAGAAGTACTCCACAATAATACATTCGCCTCTAAATTATCCTCCGGAAAACACAAAATAGTGAAGGTAATATTAAAAAAAAAAATCCTGAACCAAAACAAACATACAAATAGAAAAGCACTAACTAACCTTAGATTAAATGAGATTCTTCATAGTCAGAGCTTTCTAGATAGAAGACACATACCATACACCAAATATATATAAAACATGACTTAATGTCCAACAAATTCAAGGATGCTTGAGGCTCACCAGCACCCAAGGACTACAGTTAATTTACATAAGCAACGGCATTTTTAAAAGACGAATAATATTTGTTTGAGCTTTCTCTTTGGCTTGCTGTTGGAGCTTTTCTGCAACAAAAGCCTTCAGCAGCGTCCTTATCCTGTGAGTAAAGGAAAGAACTCCTTATGGGGAAAGAGAAACAATTGGCCTGAAGGCTATGCTATTGCCTTTGCTAAGCAACAAAGTACAGTCCTGTCAAATGACAATACTTAACATTCCTGAAGTTTTCTTTTTTTAAAAAAAATACATATGTGAAGAGGGATTATATTTTAATATTTCATTCAGAACAGGATTCAAGGACAGTCATTCTTCCAGTTGGCAAAGAGATTTGGTATTATATAAACACTTGAAAACAAATTTAGTATTAAAATTCTCTAACACAAACACACCCTTAAGTACTAGTCTTTGAAAAAAAAATTCCACTTATCTCTTTGATTTTATTACCTTTGATATCCCTAAACCACTCACTTAAAGAAAAGAGAATTAAAGTTGTGGGTAGAAGCAAAGTTGATATTTGTAGCCATGAATAGAACAAAAGGGCTCATAGAAATGAAAGCTAATTATACATCTTGTTTCTGGATACCTTATAAGCTAAAGACAAAATACAAATTATCAGATTAAAAAAAGTCTAAGTATTTCATTTGTTATTTTAGAATTCCTGATAATGTGGAATATATAATATTCAAAGCTAATCTCATTAGTCTTCTTATTTAATATTTTAAAAATTCAAGATATATTTCCCTGAGAGAATTCCTTTACTCGCCCCCCCCAAAAAAAACAACTTAATTTCATAATCTGTACAAAATACTATAATACATATTGGAAGTCTATAAAATGAATAAAACTAAAAGAGAATATAGTCTATTAGGGAGAGATAGAACTTTACACGAGTAACATAAGGCTACGTTTAGAATGTAGTCTTCCTATAAGAGTCCTATGAAAGGGGCTCAGGGAATTTTGAGGAAGGAAAGAACCTTCGAGAGGAAAGTAAGAAAAAAGAGAGGGTAAAAGCAGTCTGCAGTGGAAGAGGTGGCTATCAAGCGAGATGTTGGAAGATGGTTAGAGTTTCCGGCATGGGAGGTGGACGATGAGCATTCCAGGTACAGGGAATGGCAGGGGCAAAGGAGCCCAGGTGGAGAACAGCATATGTATTTGAAAAACAACTAATAAGAGTTCTTTCCACTAGACTCAAGCTGCAGGCCCAGACTGAACTATTTCATTTGCAATACAGAGCAAATGTTCTGTTTACATATCCATAAATTCTCCAGATAAGAATGATTTACAGCTTATACCTGTATGGATATTAATTCTAGTAGGAGTATTATTGGGTAGTAAGTACAGCCTAGTCCAGAGGCCATAAAATTAATTTGGGTCTTACAAAATAGGCAGTTCATTCCTTCTAATTTTCATTTACAAAACAAAAAGATAGCTGAAATTTTTAATTGGCCAAAAAATCAAATAATTATATTAGCCATTTTGGCCATTCATTCATTGATTCATTTATTCAGCAAGAGACTCAGTATAGCATAGTGGTTATTTGTAAACTGAAGGACAACTGCCTGACTCCTGGCTCCACCATTCACTAGCTGTATGAAACTGGGCAAGTACCTAGCCTCTCTGTGCCTCAGCTTCTTCATTTGCAAAATGGAAATAATCATACTACCTACCTCATAGGGCTGTTGCCGGGAAAAACTCAATTAATTTCCTTAGAACAGTGCCAGGCACATAATAAATGTTCATTATTATTATTATTGCTGCAACAAATATATACTGAGTGCGTGGGACTATCTGAATGCTGGGGATGTTGAAAATCAAGATAGATAAAGTTCCCATTCTTACAGAAATTACTTTCTCCTGGATAAAAAAAAAATAAAAATAACTACCAAATTATAAATCTCATTTTCTTTTAAGGAGAATTTATGCAGCTTCCCTGAATGATTAATGATTAAACTGATTAAAGGATGCATAGCCATTCACATAGCAATTTGACTTCTGGGGATTTTTTCTTGGGCAAAAAGTGAACAGGGCACAAATATGTTTATAATGATATTTACTAGTGTTGTTCATAATAACAGCGAACTGGATGTTTCTAATAGCAAAGAACTGGAAGCAATTTAAATGCCCATCAAAAGGAGAATGGTAAAAAAAATAAATGTTTTTATACTAAAAAAAACTGGAATATTATGCATCACTTTAAAAAAGGACAATATGGCCAAGGGCATATTCTATGACCTATTATGTTTTTCTTTTTCATAACTAAAAAAAAATTTAAATAATCTTAAACTTACAGAAATGTTGCAAGTACAGTACAAATAACTTTTTTCCAATAATTACTTGCGAGTAAGTTACTAACCTGATGCTTCCTCACCCATGAATACTTCAGTGGGATTTCTTAAAAACAAGTACATTCTACTACATAACCTCGATAAAATCATCAAAATAAAATGTTCACATTGACACATTACTATCATCTAATCCCCAGGCTCCAAACTTTGCCAATTGTCCCAACAGTGTCCTTTGACATTGACAAAAAAGTCAGTTCAGAATCAGGAATTACAAAGAAAGTTTTTACGTCCCTAATCTCCTTCACTCCTGGACAGTTTCTCAGTCTGTCCTTTACTTTTATGTCTTGACTGTACAGGCGAGTTATTTTGCAGAGCGCTTCGCAATTACTATTTGTTTTATGTTTCATTAGGACCAGATTCAGGTTATGCATCTTTGGCAGGAATATCATGGAAGCGATGCCATGTTCTTCTCACTACATCTATATTGTTTTTTTTTTTTTTTTTTGAGACAGAGTCTCACTGTGTTGCCCTGGCTAGAGTGCCGTGGCGTCAGCCTAGCTCACAGCAACCTCAAACTCCTGGGCTCAAGCGATCCTGCTGCCTCAGCCTCCTGAGTAGCTGGGACTACAGGCATGCGCCACCACGCCCGGCTAATTTTTTCTATATATTTTTAGTTGTCCGATTAATTTCTTTCTATTTTTAGTAGAGACGGGGTCTCGCTCTTGCTCAGGCTGGTCTCGAACTCCTGAGCTCAAACAATCCGCCCGCCTCGGCCTCTCAGAGTGCTAGGATTACAGGCGTGAGCCACCGCACCCGGCCTACATCTATATTTATTCATTGCTGCATATCAAATTACTCCAAAACTTGGTAGTTCAAAACAATAAAGCATTATCTCGCATAGTCCATCAGGAAAAGCTTAGCTGGCTGGTGCTCTCGTGAGGCTGAGAGTCAAGTTGTTGGCCAGGACTGCAGTCATCTGAAGGCTTGACTAGAGCTAAAAGATTTGTTTGCAAGGTGGCGTGCTAACATGGCTGGCAAGTTAGCATTGGCTGTTGGCAGGCACAACATGTTCTCACCATGTGGCCCTCTCTCCAGGACTGCTTGAGTATCCTCACATCATGGCAACTGGCTTCCCCCAGAGTGAGCAATGTCTTTCACATACCATCATTACTCTAACACTCTGTTGGCGACACAGGTCAGTACAAGGCATGAATACTAGGAGCGGAGGATCATCTTCTTAGAAGCTGGCTACCACAA